ATTTGACATGTGTCTCTTCTACAATATTTTCAGAAGTAACCCAGCCTCGTAGTTCGAATTGTGAAGACATCAGCTCTTTAGCTTCAGAAATAAATTTTTCTGCCTCTTCTTTAGTTTTTAAACTCGTAATACAGTTGTCCACATAAGATTCTTTGAGTTGACAAGCTGTGTGCTTCCTTTCATTCGAAGCGTTCTCTAGATGGTAAGCTATAGGTGCTTCTAGTAAAAATGGGCTAGAGAAGCACCAAATACCACTCTACAATGTCGGAGAGTGATTATTTCTTCTCGTCTTGATAAATCCTTCTATCACAGAAATTTAAACTACTCCCTATCCTCTGGATTCAAACGGATTTGTAAAAATGCTTTTTTTATGTCTGATATTACGCCAATTGTGTTTTTCTGAAGCTACATTATCAATTTGGGTACCAATTCTAATAAATTTGGCCCCTTTTCTAAACAATTATTCATGGAATTTCCTTTGGAATCTTTCGTCGACGCATGAAAAACCAGACGAATTTTTTTTTGTTGTTACACCAGTTTTTATCACAGGATGATGTGGTAAATAGTGTCCCTTTTTCTTGTCTTTATCTACAATTTCAATAATTCCATCCGGAACCCACTCATTAAACACATCAACATATTCTCTTAAATGTCCAGATCGTATGAGATTTTTGGTAGTTGACATTAACTGTTTAGGGCTAATTCTTTATTCGTTTCTAATTCTGGACGTCCACTTTTCCATGGCAAACATACTTCATACCTTTTGTCTTTGTTTGTTTTAATAGTTTTACGGAAAAAAATCTATGTTTCTTTATCGGTTACCTGCTTTGACTTTACTTCTGCAGGACATCTTATACCGATGACATCTAGGCTCCATAGTTCTGTCAAATCTAAATTATTAGCATATACAATACTCTCCAATGATTTTGAGTAGTTTCTTTGTTTACCTTGAAGCGTCCATCCAAGTTTTGTTTTAATAGGTACCAAATTATTATCAATGGGCTCAATTTTCGTAGTCAATAATGCACCAAGATAATCTGCTCCTATTAATAAACCTATTTCAGGCACATATTCTCCTGTATCACTTAAGCATATATTTTTCTTTTTCAAAATTGGATAAATATCAGGATCCTCTACACGTGGAATTGCACCACATATCTTCTTTTTGTCCAAAACTGAAATAGTGTACTTGAAATTTGAACACAAGCTTTGTAATGCAATATTGTAGAGATTATGTGACTCTTGTTTAGTTTCACTGCCCTCCCCCCAAAAAAAGTCCATGACTCATCATTTCTTGATCTACAGGTTTCAATCCTGGTTTCTCCACAATATCTTTTTGTATGAAAGATCTCTGAGCACCAATATCAAATAATCTGCGAACGATTCCGGACTTGTCATCATTGATGATTTTTACCAATATAGTTAACAATAACGTTGGAGAATTTTTTGGTGACAAAAGAACCTGTGCATCCGATTCAGATTGTTTGTCTTGTTTTGATTGATTTATATTTGGACACATAATGCTATGGTGTTTTTTCTTGCATATAATACACTTTAAATAAGCTTTGCAGATCTTAGAATTGTGTCCTGGTTTCAAACAGACAAAACAAGCTCCCCTTTTCGCCTCCAATGACATCTCGGCAGCCTTAAAACATTCTGAGGTATTATGAAACGACTTATTACAAAATATACAATGTTTGCTATTTTTCTCAGCTCTTTGCTTTTCATTAGATACAATGCTAGCTGCTGTGGGAATTTTTTCTTTCGTTTTCAATTTTTCAAATTGATCATTCGCAAACCCTCATCGAGCAAGTTGTAACCACTCTTCACATTCGACTTCCAAATGAAGAAATTCTAATAAATTTCCTAACATGTTCATCTTGTCTTTATTTTATACACGGTTATGTGTGCGTTCCCACTCCTTGATAAGAACTTCTGGCAGAGCTGATTCTACTAAAGGATATAATATTGCTTCATATTTTTCAGACGTTACGCCTAATGCTAATAGACGGCTAATGCTAATAAGACGTCTAATGCTCGCAGCTGAGCCTCTAATTTATCATAAAGAATCCGCATAGTAAAATTTTCGCTACTTTTCGCTTGCGTTAAAACTAGGATTTAGAAGTTCACGAACATAAATTTGAATTAATAGTTCATCTTTAGCAAAACGAGATTTCAGCTGTTCAATAAATAGCATTATAATAGTTTTTGCCAAATGGTGGAAAAACTTGCAACTAAATCTCTGGCCAATGAACTTTCTTCAGTTGCTTGTAAAAGATACTGAAATTTGTCATCTGCATCAATGCTATCATCATCATAAATCTTTTTAAATTGTCTCCAGAATCCTAGCCAGTTTTTAATATTACCATCAAAACTTTTCAGTTCTAACTTAGGAAGACAGAAATTTTGCTTGGTTTCATTTACTACACTGGAAATATCACCCTCTTTTTCAGTGGTTGATAACATTAAATCAACTTTCGTTTTCATAGTAACCCTCTGATTTCGATAGCTTTTGTTAAATCGATATCATTAGAAAATTAATCTTCATTATCAGTATGAATATTTCAGATATTTTTCTCAGCTCTATTCAATGCCAAATGACAAACCAACAAAAAGGAATAAAGTGTAATTCAAAATATAACTCAAGCCTGTATTTTTAATACAAAAATTTAAGTTTTTTATATTTTCTCTTTTAATGTATGTATTTTTAGCAAGCAGTTTCATGACTCTTGTTTTACTTTTTATGAGATATACAATTAAATGCAGTTCAAAATAAAATTATCTCCTTTCTTGATGTAAGAAGTATGTATATTCATATTTTATTTTGTTTTCTTTAAGAAAGGCATAAACTTTGTTTTGTATTGCTTTCATTTTCCTTTACTTGGTTTGAATAAAAGAGTAATGTCACTCTAAATTTTTTTAATAACATTTGTACACTGGTTATCATAAATTAAGGAAAACTCACAAAAATCACGATTACTGAAAAAGTTACGTGTAAAATTTAATGAAACTTGCCCACAATATACAACACATAGTAAGGTATCAAATAACATAAAAAGAAATTACCATGCAAATATAGATATTAGCACATGTATAAAATGAACAAATCGAAGGTGTCAGTTTGCTATAGGAAAAGTACCTTCAATATGGAATACGATCTCCTCTAGAAGCAATACAGCACATACAGCGATGTGTGATGCTTTCAATTATACGGTCTATCAGTTCCATAGGAAGCGAGAGCCATTGCTCTTGTAAAGCAGTTGCAAGCACGACAAGGGTTTAAGGGGGCGGATTGAGAGCAGCTAGATGTCTCCCTAAAGCATCCCAAACGTCTGGGGATCAAGCTGGGGTTCAAGTCTAGGGATCGAGCTGACCACTCCATGCGCATAATTGTTTCCTGTTGAAGATAATCATCTACGATACAAGCCCTGTGTGGTCTTGCGTTGTCGTTCAGGAAAGCATCACCTATTGCCCCGGCATATGGGTGCACATAAACATCAAGGATGTCATCTCTATAAATCTGAGCATTCACGGTTCCCCTTGGAAAGACATGGAGGTCTGTGCGTCCACCCAAAGAGATGCCACCACAAACACAGACACTGCCCCTTCTGTATGCATCTCTTTCATGGATGTTTGATGGATGATAACGAGTTCTAGGTTCTCTCCATATCAAATAACGCCTACTATCGCTTTCTAGACTAAACTGGACTCATCCGTAAAGAGAACCGCCCTCCATTGATCAGGCGTCCAGTGGACGTGTTGTCATGCCCACTGAAAACGGTCCCTCCTATGGCGTGACGTGAGCGGCATGTGAATGGCTGGTCGCCTCGCATGCAGACCACCTTTATGAAGCCTTCTATGCACAGTTGACGTTGACACAAACCTTCTGGTGGCTGCAGCAAGGAAGGATCTAAGAAGAGTCGGAGTAGCGGTTCTATTCCTGCGTGCACATAATGTCAAATATCGGTCATCGGCGCTCGTCGTAGCAGTTGGCCGTCCTTGGCTTAACCTCCTAGATGCCGAATCTAGCCTCCAAAGTCTTGCCTCCAAAGTCTATGAACCACAGAAGGACTCGCATTTAGCCATCTGGCCACTTCTGTTTGACTTTGTCCTGCCTCTAGTCTCCCAATGGCTCTCCATCGCTGTTCTGCAGGCAAATGATGCCTGGAGGTCATTGTTACGAATTGGCTGAGATTTCTGATGTCACTGTCACAGTGAAATATGTGGGCTTGCTCTCAAACATGGACTTTTATGCTCCTCGCAGATGACGTATTTTAAAAGCAGTGCCACTAATTTGCATATCACAGTTTTACTGTACTCTTACTTGGCAACATATTCAAATTTTACACGGTTTTGGCTTATTTTTGAGGGAGTTATCGCTTTTTGTGATTTTTCCTTAATTTATGATAACCAGTTTATTTCTATAGCATGCACATCTTTTAAATAAAAGCCTTATGACCTTCTTTTCGTATTTTGCATAAACAGTATTTGTCATTTTACAAAATAAATTGGTATTACATGCAATGCAGAAAGAAAGTATATAATATATTCAAATAATTCTCATATTTTATACTTTGCTTAAAAATATGTTTAATACAATACATTGCCAACACATACACACACATATGTAGCAATATACATAGACATACGATGCCCTAAAATTTCATTTTTTTCATACAAATTCTTAAAGTGTTTTTGCTCTATTCTCTTTCATGTTGTGAAATATATTTTATTCATCGGAATATACTTACTGTAGGTAGAATTTTAAATTAATTTAGATTGAAATAATGTTTTTGCAGTGTAAGTAATTGTTGGTCTGTTTATATTGTAAATTCTTTTCAATAAGAATTTTATTGATTTTATATATTTTATAATATTTATACTAAAATTAAATAAACTTTTCATTTTTACTAAATTATTTGAGACTTTTTTCAAAAATTTGTGAAGGTAAGATCAAATATTGTTTACTTGCAGTTCAAATACTCATGATTGTTTTTTAGTTACTCATCAAGCTCCATTTTTTACAAAATCTCATAAAATGAATGACCTCACCACTGCATTTTCTGGTTCTTCTGCCAACTTCAGATGTGCAGCAGATGGAACACCAGCACCTGATGTAATTTGGTTTAAGGATGGAATGCCTATTGAAAAAGATCACCGTGTAAGTGCAGTTTTTTTTTTAGTGTAAGACTAATATTAACTCTTTGTCAACAAATACCTTTTTTTTTCCCCCCTTTTTGTATGTGTTCCAAGGTACACTGGAAATAAATCTTGACTCCATTCTAACAATTCAATGTAAAGTTTCTCAAAGGATATGTAAAACCATGCTAATTGCATCCTGTACTAATGTAAATATTATTTTTATATATAAAATTATGTTGAAAGTTTAAGTAAATATTATTTTTCATTTTGTTAATTGTGCCTTACCAGTGGCCGAGTGGCTAAGAATGCTGAATACTTTTAGTTTGACTTGGCGTGGGTTCAAAACTACGCAAATTAGCTGGCTGCATATTTGGTTTTCCCTTTGTAATATGACTAACCAGCTTTCCTCGGAAAGTCCACCATGAAGACATCCCTCCTCTTAGGCAGATAGACGTTGTGTATTTGCCGTATTTAAAAAAAAAACCTAGCCTATGTATATATTGTTAATTGTGATAGGTTTTTGTTTTTTTGTTTTTAGATGTGTAAAACATATTGTAAGCAGTTAAGTAGTTTGTAGTGAAATGGACAGAAACCTTTATAATTATAATGGCAAGCTTACAAATAGAAAAAATTTAAATAATATACTTTGGAATTGAAAGGATTACTCATTGTTATTTGAATGTCAAAATCGTTCATTGACTTGACATTCAAATAACATACTTTGACGTTTTATATATGTAAAAACCAAGCATTCACCAAAACCTCATAATTTTGTGTTATATTCATTATTTCGGATAAAAATTTTGTGTTCATTGCAGATAAGAATTCAAAGTTTATTAGAGGCAAGTTTATTTTTTGTATATTTATTTTTTTAAGTATACAATTTACATCAAATCCCTTTTTAAAATTGCTTTGAAGATATTTTTTGCAAAATGTGCTCCCTACCAACTGCAGTTATAAATTTCCTTTTTTCCAGCTGGTCATTTATTATTATTTTCTTCCAGGCAACTTTTTGAAAGATCCAGGAAGAAAATGTTGTAAAAATTATATAAAAGCACTTTTCTTTTTAACTTTTCTTCAGTAAGCAAATAAAAAAAAAAAAAAAAAAAAAAAAAAAAATAAGGCCACTATATTTATAGCTCCCTGAACAAGCATGTTACTGAATACTTGTATTGGCCATTGCCTTCTTTAAATCATGTTATAGACTAGTGGTCTCAAACTTGAACTGCATGGGGGCCGAATTCATGATCCAAAAGCACCTAGTGGACTGGACTTTTTTTAAATAAAATGAGAAGATATATAAAATGATAAAGTCTCTTTATAATTATATACAGTCAAAAGTCGTTAATTCGGACACCCATAATTCGGAATGATCTATAATCCGGACCTCCAAACTAAAAACTTTCTGCGCATGCGCCGCGTTGACACATGCGCATAGGCGTTTACGCGTGCGCGTAAGACCTTTTACGAGTGCGCAAGTGCAGAATACGTTTTCGCGTGCGCGTTTTATGTATAATGGACGTATAAGCTAAAATTATCTAATTATCTATTTCAGTTAATATTGATGATTGCGTTGTGCCTTAATTTTCGAATTGGATCCGGCTTATTATTTTTTGCAGACTGTAAGAGCAATTTTATAAAAGTAAGCTTAAACTTTCGATTATATCAAATAGAATTTCTGATATATATTTGTTAATATGTAAAGGATCTAAAGCGAAAGTATGTTTTGAAATCCGAAATCTGTTTATCAATTTCACGCTGCTCGGCGGGGGGAACGCCGCAGCGGGCGTGTAATGAATTGGAAGTTGATCCGTCAGCACTATCCTTATCTTCAGCAGGGCAGATGTTTTTATTTTATTTGGCTTATAATTCCTTACCAAATGTAGTATTTCATCTCGATATGCTCCGTCTTTGATATGATTTAAAACAAGTTCCTCGTCATTATAATTCGCTTCCGATAGCGAAGAAAAGTGACAGGGGTTATTGAAAACGAAAAAATTTCGATTGACAAATTAGTCGGGTGTTCTCGACACAGCAATTATAGGAATTGAACAGCGGAACTTTGTAACTGAACAAGAAATTATGTCTGTTTAATAGAATTAAAGAGAAAGTATTATCACATGAAACGAAGCAAAACTTAAACAACTTACATTGAAAGAAATGTTTAATAAAGTAAACAAATAAATATTAAGCTTTTTCTTTTTGCAAATTTTGATATTCTTTAGATCATAATTATTCTTTATTTCATAAATTACGGTTTTATATTTTTAATTTTATAATTTCTGCATGCCATCTTACGAGATTTAAACTGATGATCTATAATCCGGAAAAATCGATAATCCGGAATCGCCGAAGCCCCGACGAGTCCAGATTAACGACTTTTGACTGTATATATATATAATAAAAACAAAGTCAGAAGTAACTGACCAGCAGAAATTTTGATGCCGTAGAAGTGTTGATCCATAATGAATAGGAAATTGGTGGCAAAGGCAGATTACATCTTCATTTTTTATTTCAGCAAACATATTGTGGCCACAAACAAGTTGGCACATTAAATGTGCCTATTCCAAAAAGCTTACATTTTAGATAATTTGCAGTAAGATAGAAAGAGCAGACAGACAGCAGTCCAGCTAGGCCAAAGCGTAGAAAGCAAGTGTATTATGTTCAGGGTGAAATCTTAATTCAGACTGACTTAGTTTTGGTTCTCATTGCATTTTGATTTTATAGTTTATATTGCTATAAAATTACTATTGGCTGCTAGAGTTTTAATTCCATTTACATCATTAGAATTATATAAGAGTCATATGACATGGATTAGTCTAGAAACGACACAGTACAGAGAGAGGTATTTTTAGAATAGAGAAGGTAAATTAATTTATGCAGCTAATTTAATCTTTTACATATTCTTTATTTTTCTGAATATATATATATGTATATAAAACATGAAAGACAGACACTTAACTGGCAATAGACATTTAAATTTCTAATTCAAATATTAAATACAATCTCCTTCAACACATTTATGTAGCATTATTTTTCATCCCTCTTTACCTGCAGAGATCTGCATTTCTGTGATCTTTTATCCAGTCATCATTTAGAACTCAGAATTTCCAAGTTTAAATACACTAGCTGCTTTCTACACATCACTTTTCTCTCTTGCTGCTGCTTGCATAACCCAAGTTTGTCACTCTGCAGTATTTTCTATGGTTTAAGATGTGATATGCATATTTTAAATTGTGGGATGCAAATTGCATTCATTGTGCTGTGTGATGTCTATAGAATGTGGTTCTAAAGAACGTTTCTCTACTGAAAATAATGGATATTTAATCTTCATTATGGCTACAGTTGATTGGAGCTGTGTTATTATTTATTGCAATGCCATCACCGTCCTAACCGTGACTTCGACTTAATGGATTCTCTCATCATACCTTCTGAAATATCATCATATATACATACGTTATAGCGCCTTATACTTACTATTAATGTGTGGTGAACAGTCCTTTATAACCTGGTATTAACATGTACACATTATATATGGTGTGATGCATATAAATTTATAATACAGTATAAAGTCCGTAATCCGGACGTCCATTATCCGGAATGATCTATAATCCGGACCTCAAAGCCACAAACTTATGCATGCGCGTTTAATGCACCAGTCGCTACGCATGCGCATAAAGCCAATAAAGCGTTTACACATGCGCGTTTCTGATAGTGAAGAAAGTGACAGAGAGGTTATTGAAAATGAAAAAATTTCGATTGTCAAGTTAGTCTGTATTCTCAACACAGTAACTACAGGATTTGAACAGTGGAACTTTGTAACTGAACAAGAAATTATGTCTGTTTATAGAAGAGAGAATTAAAGAGAAAGTATTAGCACAAAAAACGAAGCAACTTAAACAACTTACATTGAAAGAAATGTTTAATAAAGTAAACAAATAAATATTAAGCTTTTTTTTTTTTTTTGTAAATTTTGATTCCCTTTAGATCATAATAGCTCTTTATTTCGTAAATTACAGTTTCATATTTTTAATTGTATAATTTCTGCATGCCATCTTACCGGATTTAAATTGATGATCTATAATCCGGAATCGCCGAAGTCCCGACGATTCCAGATTACGCACTTTGTACTGCATGATATAAATTTTACTTTTAAAATTTATTTTATTCGAGCTTTGTTTAATTGAACATTTATTTCAATAACATTCAGTTGTAGTTTCTGCTATGTTTTCCTTTATACTTTTTATTTTTCAAACCTATGCTTTTCTTCCTCCTCTTCTAGGCTAAAGTTATGAGACGTTTTCTTTCAGTTAAATTTTCTCTTATGTTGGGTTGTAACGAAAGTTGTCCCACCACTGCAAATATCATCTGCACAAACAGTTCGCGTGTGCATGTTTAATCATATTTTATTAGACGTTTTTTGGCATTTGAAAGAAAGAGACTTGCACAGCACTGTATTGTGAAATTTGTAAACACATCTTGTTACAACACAAGGTGTCTGAAATGGAACTATCATGCTACCAGATTAGAAGCATAATTTACTATTGCATTACTGTAGCAAAAATTCAGCTACAGAATGTCACCAAATCATGTGTATAGCTCTAGGTACTAATGTTATATCATATGACACTGTAAAGATTTGGACCAAAAGTTCAAAAACAAGAACTATGACATTTAAAAAACAAAGAGCACTGACCAGCCTATACCTGTACTACACTGATCACCTGTAAGAACTTGTGGAAGAAGATCAGTATTCAACCACTCGAGAGCTTGCTAAGGAGTTAGATGATAGTGCCATGTCCATTAGTCACGCTATGCATCACATGAACTTGACGTACAAGTTCAATCACTGGGTGCTTCATAAGCCAATTCAAGCAGATAAAGGCTAGATGTGTTCTGGCCTGCAGTAATCTGCTCGAAATCATCACAAGGACAAAATTCTGGACCAGATTGTCCTTTGTGATAAAAATGAATTACTTCAACACATACCGAAAAGGGGGTTGGTTTGGGCAAAGTGAG